CTTAACTGTATGTCATCATTTCTGCACGTTTCAAGGATTTGTTTTAAAACAAGAAGAAACGTCAAAATTTTGTGTTATAATATAGATTTGTGTTATGACATAGATTTTTCTTTTAATATAGACTTGTGTTATCATATAGATTTGTCTTATAGCATAGATTTGTGTTAAAACACAGATTTGTGTTATGATATAGATTTGGGTTATAGCATAGATTCACCTTATAATATAGATTTTTCTTATAATATAGACTTTTGTTATAACATAGATTTGTGTTATAAATAGTTTTGTGTTATAATATTGTTACGACAGCGCAACCAAGTAACCAAGGAACGTGTTCAGCTGACAAACAAGGTAAAGAGAAACTGGAAGGCCTAGCAATGAGATGAACTATATTACTTGTACTCAAATAGAAGAAGGTCTACCAATGGGATGACCCGTATTACCTGTACCTAACTAGAAAAAGGCCTAGCAATGAGATGAACTATATTACTTGTACTCAAATAGAAGAAGGTCTACCAATGGGATGACCCGTATTACCTGTACCTAACTAGAAAAGGCCTAGCAATGAGATGACCCGTATTACCTGTACTCAATTAGAAGAAGGCTTAGTCATGAGATGACCCGTATTACTTGTACTCAACTACAGAAGGCCTAGTAATGAGATGACCCGTATTACCTGTACTCAACTAGAAGAAGGTCTAGCAATGGGATGACCCGTATTACCTGTACCCAACTAGAAGAAGGTCTAGCAATTGGATGACCCATACTACTCACTCGGTAATCTCTATATGGAACGTTTCGAAAACAGTCGTTCTACGCCCCAAGATTTGGCTCAATTATGTTAGTGATACGTTGTACAGTCAAGGTTTAGGAATTCGTGAAACGCCTGAACAGACAACATCCAGTGTTGCAATTTAGAGTGGAAATAAAAGATAAGAAATTCCCGTTCCTGGAGATGGTGGTATAGAAGAAACATAAACTCATGTACCACAGACGTTCAGGAGAAATTCCCGTTCCTGGACATGGTGGTATAGAAGAAACATAACTCATGTACCACAGACGTTTAGGAGAAATTCCCGTTCCTGGACATGGTGGTATAGAAGAAACATAAATCATGTACCACAGACGTTTAGGAGAAATTCCCGTTCCTGGACATGGTGGTATAGAAGAAACATAACTCATGTACCACAGACGTTTAGGAGAAATTCCCGTTCACGCACATTGTGGTATAGAAGAAACATAACTCATGTACTACAGACGTTTAGGAGAAATTCCCTTTCCTGGACATGGTGGTATAGAAGAAACATAACTCATGTACTACAGACGTTTAGGAGAAATTCCCGTTCAAGGACATTGTGGTATAGAAGAAACATAACTCATGTACCACAGACGTTTAGGAGATTCGGAAAAATATCTAACTGCAAATCAAATCATCCAATCAGTGTACAGACAGACGTCATTGACTGCCTAGTTTCTAGAATGAAAAATTCTAGTACCAAAAGAACTATCCTTGACAATGGATAACCAGAAGTAATAAGATATATAAGCAGGGGGATAATTAATGGCACACATTCCCTTCTGTCCCCGTAAACACACAGACGATATATACAAACAGCGTAAACAGAGCAGTTTTCAGAAACCACAACAAAACACAGTCAGTATGCAACTAAACACCAAATGGAGAATAAAGACATCATTTACTCCAATAAGCTGGGGCTACAAAAACACCAAGAAAAACTAATGAATCATGAGAATAATAAACATACAAGGGTCTGTAATACCAATAACCGTCCATCATACCAGAGAAGAATAAATCGTACAATAAATATACAAATAACGAACAAGAAAACAGAAGATAAAAAAAACACTTTACCACATTCTTCTAGCTGATAATACAGTTTGTGTAAAACCAGTGTAATACAGTCCTATCTTTCATGAAACATAGCAGTTTGTGTAAAACCAGTGTCATACAGTCTTTTCTTCTGTAAGGTATAGTTGATGGTAGGAAATGATTATGTATACACTCCTCTTGTCCATCAAACATAGTAATTTGTTTAAAACCAGTCCACCCATAGTCCCCACTTCCATACAACATAAATACGTTGTAACACCTCTCTCTTGTTGTCATGGTTAGTAGGTTATAATATAATCTTCATACATTATAAATACGTTGTCAATTTTAGTAGGTTATAATTTGTATAAACCCAGTTCACCTATACAACATAAATAAGTTGTCATGTTAAGTAGGTTATAATATCATTGAAGTTTTATGAAGAATTAGTTATGATTTATTAATTACTAACTGTTTTGTATCATATTTTTGTCTGGTATTCGATCCTGAGTTTTGCTATCCATTAATCTGATTGTTTTCAGGAGAGGTTTTGTTGACTGAATGCATTATCAGCTATATGAATGTGGTAAAGCTCTTGACTGAATGTATTATCACCTAGAGCTGCTAGACGAATGTGGTAAAGCTATTTACTGAATGTATTATCAGCTAGACGAATGTGGTAAAGCTATTGACTGAATGTATTATCAGCTAGACGAATGCGATAGAGCTGTTGACTGAATGTATTATCAGCTAGAAGAATGTGGTAAAGCTGTTGACTGAATGTATTATCAGCTAGACGAATGTGGTAAAGCTATTGACTGAATGTATTATCAGCTAGACGAATGCGATAGAGCTGTTGACTGAATGTTTTTGTTTCATGGAAGAGAGGACCATATTATACTGGTTTTAGACAAACTTTAATGTTTCGTGGAAGAGAGACTGTATTACACTGGTTTTACACAAACTATAATGTTTAAAAATAGAGGACCGTATGACACTAGTTTGACAGAAACTGCTATATTTCATGGAAGAGAGGACTGTATGAAACTGGTTTTACCCAAACTGCTATGTTTCATGGAAGAGAGGACTGTATTACATTAGTTTTACAGAAACTGCTATGTTTAATGGAAGAGAGGACTGTATTACACTGGTTTTACAGAAACTGCTATGTTTCATGGAAGAGAAGACTGATTGACACTGATTTTACACAAACTG